CTTCCTTCCTTCCTTCCTTCCTTCCTTCCTTCCTTCCTTCCTTCCTTCCCTTTCTTCTCCTGGTTCATTTTCTCTTTCTAAAAAATAATTAATTAAACAAATAGAAATTGTAGGGACATTAGGGGGCCAACAGAGACAAGATAGAGAACAGGATAGCGATCAGCATAAAATTTGAAGTCTTCACTGCTGATTCTAACCTACTTCTCTCTGGTCTCTGTTGGTCCCCTAATGTCCCTACAAGAGAAAATCTAATAAATTTAGGCAAAGCCTAAAATATTTCATATACTTGGAAGCTGCAGATGGATGGATGGATGGATGGATGGATGGATGGATGGATGGATGGATGGATGGATGGATGGATGGATGGATGGATGGATGGATGGATGGATGGATGGATGGATGGATGGATGGATGGATGGATGGATGGATGGATGGATGGATGGATGGATGGATGGATGGATGGATGGATGGATGGATGGATGGATGGATGGATGGATGGATGGATGGATGGATGGATGGATGGATGGATGGATGGATGGATGGATGGATGGATAGATGGGTAGATAGGTAGATAGGTAGATAGATGGATAATATTTAATTTGGCCAATGACCAGATAAAACAGAATACATATAAATGAAATATAGAAAAGCAAACCAACCAACTAACCATCCACATATCCATCAAAAGCTGAAAAGATGAATGTATTAATGTACTACCCTTGAAATAAAGGTGAAAAGACTACTTTATACCAGGAAAACTAAGGTTCAGGATGAGATGGAAGCAACGTCATGGTGACATGAAAAAAAATGAGGTTGCCAAGGCATATTTCTTTTGTCGTTAGTTTCAAGAGCACTCACATTAAAGCTTCCTGGTTTGTTTAGTCCAGCACTTTTGTCAAAATCATGACAGCAGTGCTGAGCCACCCCAGTGCCCTTTCATATGTCCACACAGCAGCCCAACACACATAAAAAAAGGGTTGGAGCTGTCACTGTGTTGTCATGATGCTGCCCCCTCCCCAACTCCAATGCCTCTGGTTTAGTCACTCCCTCTGGGAAGAGAAGCCAAGCTTGAGCCATCGTGCTCCGATGTGCTACACATTTCTGATAAGTGACAACTCTAAAAAAATTCTAGCTTATGCCAAAAATGGCACCAAATCATAAAGAATGAGACAAGAATAGAAGTTTTCCTTCTCAAGACAAGAAGGCCTGGACTTCCCCAAACCAGAGCGCACCAGAACACCTGATACAAGCCCTGCAACAGCCTCTGGAAGAACATCCCAAACTCTAATATGCAGAGTTGGATGAACAAGCTTTTTCTGGCCAAGGACAGTTAATTTTTCATTAAATCTAAACCTTTATGGATTCAAATTACTCAAGTTACTGCCAAATTCTGATGGCAAAACATGCTGCTGAATGGTGCCTGCAACTGGAGTAGAGGCTGTGATGACAGGAGGAGAGAACTAAAATCTGGAAGTATATTTGTGGGCACCTTTGGGGCAAGATTTCCAACCAGGCAAAGTGAGACTTGTATTTATTTAGGTATCACATATTGCATTGATTTCTATACTATCCAACTGGGTGGATCACCAACCTTGGGTGGATTGCTACATGTAGAAATAATCCCATGATAAGCAAACATTCAATGACATGCCACAGCACAATGCCCAACAGCCTAGAAATGATAAAAAAGGTCAATGTGGAATATAAACCCTCCCAAGTGATTTCTCAGAAGGCTGCTCAAACAAAATGGTCTTGAGAGACTTCTCAGAAGCTGCTAGGAGAGGTGCCATGTGAACCTCTGGAGGCAAAGTAATCTATAATGTCAGGGCCATGCCAGAAGATAGGCTCCAGGCCCATCATCCCCTCTCTGGAAACATGGCTGAATCACTTTGGAGCAGAAGGACCTAAGGTATCCTGGACCTAAGTTATAAAGAGCTTTATAAGTCAACACCTTATTGGAAGACAAATGGCAGCTAATACCACAAGCATAAAACAGATGCTAGGTTCCAGCAGCAGCCTCCACCATTAATAGCCTAACCACTTCATTTTGTACCACCAACTCCACCAGCTTTGGAGTCATCTTCAAAGTCAGCCCCATGTAAAGTGCATTATAGTAGTCTAGCCATGGCATAATGAGGGCATGAGTCTCAGTGCCCATCGCCAGCTCCTTCCTGCACCGAATAAAAAAATTTGCAATGACTGTTTGTCTCGCAACATGTCTGTGTGTGCATGCATACGCGTGCTTTGTGATTTCCAAACAGCACCTTGGAGTTTACTGTTCTGTAGTCCAATAAATGAAAGCTCTTGCCTATCTTCCTCACACCCTGCTTTTTAAAAAAATAATTAGCGTTTATATGCAACACAATTAAGTATAAATGGAACTGCCATGACTGCCTTTACTGCTCCCCCAATTGATTGGTATGTGTGTGTCTAGGAAAGTTTTACACACATTTCTTTCTGCCTAGAAACATACATAAGACCATCTCTTTCTGGTCTTATGACTGAAGGACTTTGGATCAACTTTCTTTCTGATTTGTGGGATTTGTTGAGCTCAGCCTTTGAAAAGTGGAGTTTTTCCCCCTGTAGTCACTCAATTGTTCATTCTCATTCCTCTGCACAAGAGCCCAGTGATTCCCTCTCCAAGTACCTTGGTGTGAGCAAGCACTCCGATCCAGCACGTCAAAAGTCATGTGCTAGGCAGAAGATGAAGTTCGAAAAATGAGTCTCTGTATAACTGAAGTGGCAAGTGGGTAAACGTTCCTTGGATGTAGCCCTGAGCATGTGATAATCAGATTACAGAATGTGTGTATGTGTCAAGAGAGAGAAGCAAACTTGAATGAGGTACCAGTAAGAAATATGCAGGGAGAACTTCTCAGCCTGTGAGACGGACAAAAACTTCCTTGTCAGGAGTTAACTGAACTACCAGGCAGGACAGCAGATTTTCTGTCTGAAAGGCAAATGCCTCTTTTTTCTATAAGCATAATTTTGGGGATCCTGCCCCTTGGCTCTAGCCAGTTTCCTCGGGCATGTGCCAACTCAGACAACTTGCTGAGAAAGGAGTGTTGTCCAACATGGCCTGGTGATGGTTCTCCTTGTGGGGAGCTTTCAGGCAGGGGTTCTTGCAGAGAGATCCGCCTTTCAGATGCCCCTCTTGGTCCTCAGTTCCCTTTCTCTGGAGTGGATGACAGAGAGAACTGGCCTGCTGTGTTTTACAATAAGACATGTGAGTGCTCAGGCAGCTTCATGGGATACAACTGTGGAGATTGCAAGTTCAACTTTGCGGGTCCTAACTGCACTGAAAGAAAACTACAGGTAAGGAAAGACATCTTCAAGCTCAACACCAGAGAACACTACCAGTTCCTTGCCTATCTCAATTTGGCAAAACATACAACCAGCCGGGATTTTGTCATTGCCACCGGAACGTATGCCCAAATGAACAATGGCACCACTCCGATGTTCCAAGACACCAGCGTCTATGACCTTTTTGTCTGGATGCATTATTATGTGTCTCGAGACACACTTCTTGGAGGTACCAATGTCTGGCGGGATATTGATTTTGCACACGAAGCTCCAGGTTTTCTTCCTTGGCATCGGCTTTTTTTGCTCCTATGGGAACATGAGATCCGGAAGCTTACTGGGAATGAAGATTTCACCATCCCCTACTGGGACTGGAGAGATGCTGAAGGCTGTGACATCTGTACAGATGAGTACATGGGGGACAGACATCCCAGCAAACCAAACCTATTGAGCCCAGCCTCCTTCTTCTCTTCATGGCAAGTATGTACAGGCAGGAGGTGGGGAGGAGGGAGAGGAAGAATTTTGTATGGTACATGCAGCAATTGAAAATCTACAGGTCTGCACTAATGCAAAGCATTCCTGATATAATTTTAGAAGTAAGATTCAGAGATTCTAGGACTGTAAAGGATGTGGAGATGGTTTCTGATAAGAACTATGCTTTGGTTAAATCCCATCTTACTGTGTCCCATTCTGGGCTCCAAGCTTTAAGAAAGATTCAGAGAAGGACAACAGCGATGATCAGGGGACTAGAAAGCATTTCTGTGAAGAGAAGTTGAAGGAGCTGTGTACTCTTAGTCTTGAGGAAAGATGACTGAGGTGAAGCATTCTTCAAGTACCTGAATGGATGTCAGATGGAAGAGCTGTTCTCTCTTATTCCTAAGCGCAAAACACAGGTTTAAATTACAGGAAGGCAGATTCTACCTGAATGTTAGGAAAGACATCTAGTGGTAGGAATAGTCCAGCAGTGGAACCAACTAAACAGAGAGGTAGTGGACTACCCTTGACTTGATATGCTTAAGCAAAGGCTCCACAGCCATCTGTCTGGGCTGCTTTCACACAAATCCCTGCATTCAGCAGGACTTGGATATGGTGGTCTTCCAGCTGTATGACTCTATCTTTTTGCAGCACCGTAGCTGCTCAGGTCTTAGTGCCACCTACAGCGTGGTAAGGTTCCATATTACAAAATGCATTGGGATCTCTTGCACTCAAACGTAGCAGAGAACTGTTGGTTCAGCCTACTTTTAAGCTAGAAAACTATGAATATCTGGGCTTCCTTGCATATTGCTATGATCATATCATATGAAATGAAGATGACTTATGCTGGTCCTGTGATGCGTGTATTCTCACCGGCAACAGCTCCCTGAAGTCTCGGGCTCAGAAATATTGATGAGCCCTGCTGTTTGAAATGCTTTTAACTGACATCTCAAGGGACAGTCTGTCTTCCAGCCGTAGTGCTTTCGATGACTTACAGCACGTTGGAAATGCAGTGCAGCAATCAGGACACAAATACTGTATATCAACAAGCAAAACACTGGAAGATTAAAACTGCAGCAAAATCAGTTTGACCATGCAGACCATCTTAAACCTCTAGGCAAACCAGAATTCTGAAAACTAGGAAATAAGAAAAAGTTCTATAGCGTTCCATATGTATCAAAATGTGCATATATTGTTTCTTACAAATGCTATGGAAAGAATTTGAGATTACAAACAATTGAGTGAAGAAGAAAGCAAAACCAAGAGGCTTCTTTGACCCCCCCCCTTTTTTTTTCTGCTAGTCAGCAGCTCCATTCAGAAAGTTTGGGATGTCCAAGGCTGGCTCTTCAACAAGAATAGGCAGTTGGGCAGGACAGTATGGAACTTGTAGAGACTGGTTTCATTTTTTAGCATGGACGTTCTGATGGAAATACAATAGAAAGCCATTATTCCAGTCTATTCAATTTTACTTGGGGGGAACCTGGGATTTTCTAGCAGAAAACATGATGCACAGTGAAGTCAATTGTATATTAGGATACAGAGGTGAAACACAAGCACAATTTTGGTTAGGACTAAATGCATATATCTGTGATTGCAGAACATTGTCCAAATAATGCAGGGTGCCTTTCTTTCTTGTTTGAAGAAAATGTACTTTTATGACCACATGCAAAGGATAAGGAGTTTGAGGAGATTCAGGGAAATAATAAGGGGGAAATGTCTTCACTGTAAAATAAGTTCAGTCTAACAAATTAGCCTCTGGACAGGGCTATCCTATCAACAGGATTCATGTTGGCAAGGCAGAAGGAAGGCAGGAGTAGTGCTAACCCCCTGTTTTTCTGTATGTTGTAAAAATGGATTCTGTCCGTACTTCATGGGAACAACTTCATCCACAAAAACTGGTGTAGGTTTAGTACTCTTGGAAGAGGAAGGTGGAAGTCTGTGAGAGGCCAGTGAGGTGTCATGGTTAAAGAGTTGGACTAGGAACAAGGATACCCAGGTTTAAGTCTATCCGCCATCATGGGAGCTCACGGATGGCTTTGGACCCATGACAAACTCTCAGCCAAACCAACACCCCAGAGCTATGGTTGTGGGGAAAGTTGGAAGAAGGAATGCTACATATGCCTCCCTGAAACCCTAAAGGAAATTCATAATATACACCTGAAATAAACTAAAATGAATACTTTGATAAACTACAACAGTTGAAGTACACTTTACTTCAGGAAAAAAGAAAAGTGTGAATTATACTTAACAGAATGATGGCCAGATTCATTTCTTTCACAGTTATATCAAATTCTAGAACCTATTATAATTTTATATTA